AGACGTCCCTCGCCACGATTCACCCAGTCATCAAAGACCGGGTAAACCGCCTCGACGGTCCGTAGCCCCCACGTGGGGTTGGCCAATCGCCTCGACCACGACTCGAGCACGGACCGCCGAGAATGGGCCTTCCGCGCCCGCAGCTCACTCTCGGGGACACGCGCCACGCCCCGAGCACGAAGCTCGCTGCGCCACCGATAGTCGGCAGCGAGCGACTCCGCCTCCAGCTCCCATGGCGGCGTCCCCGCCAAAACACACGCCGCCTCGAAGGAGACGGTGCGATATCCGCGGATGACCCTGATGGCAACGGTGCGCTGCGGCCGGCGCAGGAACCGAGCCATAGTGGCCCGGTTGCGCGGCTCAGCCCACACAGGTGCACCGTACAGGGCCATCGATCGCACCACCCCCGCGTAGAGACGGCGCACAACCTGATCCGGTCCCCCAATATTCGGGAGCAGCCGGCTCAAAGAACCGGCCGTCCCCATCAATCGGGGGACCAGCTCCGCAAAGTGAGCACGAAAGGCCCACCGGCTGTCCAACACGAGGCCGAGGTACTTCAACTGCACCCCGACCCCTATCCGGACGCCTCCAACCACGATGTGGGTGTCAACGGGTGGCGCCCTCCGCGGCCCGTGAAACCACAGAGCCTCGGATTTATTGAGCGCCACGTCGAGACCCAGCCTCCTTATCCTTCCGACGACGAGGGCCACTCCCGCTGTGGCGAGACGGGCAGACTCCCTAAAATCATCCCCCCGGGCCACGACCAACGTGTCGTCCGCGTAACAAATAACGCGGAGGCCCGGGAGGAGGGCGCCCCTCAGCACCCAGTCGTACCCGATATTCCACAAGAGGGGGCCGAGAACCGACCCCTGCGGAACACCACGCACGACCGGAAAACGATGAAGGGTCCCACCGTACCCGGTACATACGACCGACCTGGCCCCCAAATAGGACCCAACCAGCCGGCGGAGGTAGAGGGGCACTCCATGCCTCTCCAGTGCCCCCCCTATCACGGTCCAGGGCAGAGTGTTAAATGCGTTGGCGATGTCAAGAGACACCGCCAGCGCCACCCCACCCCGAGAAACGGCCTCGTCCGAGAGGGACCGCACGCGAAGAATTGCATCCACGGTCGAACGGCCCTCCCGGAAGCCGTACTGCTCCGCCGACAGGTCAGGCCCCACCCCGACCAGGTGCCGAACGATGCGGGCAGCCAGAATACGTTCCAGCAATTTTCCCGCCTCGTCCAGCAGCACGATAGGACGATACCCCCCAACACGTACTTAACAAATGTTCACGATTGACTTCCACGGTGAAGGAATAACATCGTGCAATAAAAATCAAACCCGCAAAATTATAATTTGCGTAATTACTGGTGGTAGGACCTCTTGTGAGTCCGCACGGGTAGGTACCACCGCCCCGCCTATTTCTGCCGTGAAGCAGTAATGCGTTTCGGTTTGAAGGGTGGGGCAGCCGTTGTGACTATACTGAGACCTTAGAACTATATCTCAAGGTGTGTGGCGTATTTACGTTGTAGATGTCTATGGGCTCCAGTAACCACTTAACACCAGGTGGGCTGTGAGCTCGTCCACACATCAAAGCAATAAAAAAAAACGTAATTTAAAGCAAATTAACCATTTTTAATTCTCAATAGAAGGTCGGAATTTTTAAGTGCTTTTCATTTTTATATTTTCGGTGCCCTCCGGCGTATGTGTCTGGTTTTTACAACAAAAACAGGATTGTAACGTGTTTAAAAATACAAAATAATAACCCTTTTAAAGCGATCCTTTTTGTACATGAAATTGTAAGTGATCGACTTTTTTGTTGTTTTCATTTTAAGCTCAACTTTTTATAAAAAACTGTTCGAATCTACATTAAATACCTACTCGTTTTTAAAAGCGTTAATTCAAATGTGGAACTTTTGAAATATATATGTAAATAGTAGAGATACACAATACATAATATAGAAGGGATAACGCTCTTCAACCAAAAAACAATTTACATAGTAATAATATGTACACATAACAGAATTCGCAGTTTGTGTGTACATGTGTGTGTGTGCGCAGTGTAAATGACTGTGCTGTGTTTGTAGCTTTTTTTTCTGGTCAGGAGGAAATCGCCGGACTTCCGCCCTCCACTGGGGATGGAGGGCGGGGCATGTCAGAGTCGAACTGACTAAAACCTCCTGTCGCTCAACAACCAACGTCCAAACCTCGCATGAAACAGAACTCATGAAAAGGCAAAGGGGGGAAAGTGAAGCGTTTAGTGCGGAGCACATCTCTCCCATCGCCCTCCCCCCGGGACGCCGGACCGGCGGTCGTCGGCGCCACGACCACCAGCCCTCTCGGTCGGCAGGTTATCCGAAGCCCGCCTAGATGGCGCCGGTTAGAGTGAGCTATCCTACGGAATACCCCGCTGGACCAGAATCAGCGTGGGTCGAGGATAGCCGGCCTTTCATCACCCGGATGCTCTTGCGTAAAACGCGTGCAGAGCAGCTTGCACGTTGTCTTCTTAGGCCCCCCGCGCCGGTTCCCAGGCCGACATCTGAGGGAGACCCGAAACACTTAGAGGGCCAAGGCTTGGGCGAAATCCTCCTCCCTGGCCCCCGCTCGACGGCGGCGGGCCTGTGCCTCTCTCACGCGCAGGATGTTTTCAAATTACTGAAACCAAAAAATAAACACTAAAACTGATTCATAAATAACTTCTACTGTGAAAATAATATGATTGTGTGATAATTGAAACATTAATTTTTCGGTGGTAGATCTTATATTGAGCTCTCGTTTACTTCTACGGCGCAGTTATTCGTATCGGCTTAAAGGTTATGTACATTCATTAAAAAATCCAACTCGCACTTCTTCTTAGCTTATACATAGCGGCATTCTCTATGTTCTGTATTCAGCTCGTCATTTAATACACTCATAACCGTAAGCTTTTCCACTCATGTACTACAAGATTAAAAAATATAAACTGTCTTTCGCACGTAACCATTATCATTAAATGGAATCATTAAATAGTACACAAGATGTTTCGGAACGAGAAGCACGTGTACGCGCATAAAATAAAGTCTGGTTATCTCGTGATAGGCTGCGTAACGATGTTATTCTAGAAAGTGTTTGTCATAAGTCCGACTGCGAACGTCTTGTTTGAATAAGAACTAGAAATGAATGAAAACGTGTAGGTGTTGATACGTAGCGGCGCAGAATACGAAACTAGTCACGTACGTACATTCGAATTTAAACAAAAACATATCAGTATTTGTTCCGAAGAACATTTGGTAGTTCTGTGATGATTTTTCGAAATTTTGTCGAGCTTCGTCTGGTATAGGGATTATTTATTTATTGATTGTGTATTTTGAACGAGTTCACGACCCAACCGTTGTAAAATGATTATGTCAGCGCCGCCATCGAACCCATCTTGAGACATGAGGTCGAAGTCTCAATTGTATCTATCCCACTCTAGAAACCGGAACGCGTTATTGCTTTGGAGCAAAAATAGAAACATTGATTGAGATCTTAGAACTTATAACTCAAGGTGGGTGGCGCATTTACGTTGTAAATGTCCATGGGCTCCAGTAACCACTTAACACCAGGTGGGCTGTGAGCTCGTCCACCTATGTAAGCAATAAAAAAAAAAATACATACCTATGCTGGCTTACAGTACGGCCCGCCACCAATAAATATTGGTTAGCGATCGTAGCACGCTAGTATAGTATGGAGCTAATGCCATTATCGGTAAATTTCTTCTTAGTACATTCACCGCTTAGATAGAAACAAATGAGGTGCTATTCTAAGCCGACACCTGGATAAATATATATTATGTAGTTGGAAGTCGTAGGCAAATCTATTCTTCGTAGACGAGCTACGCAATAATGAGATCGTAGCAAACGTAGTAGTTCTACGAAAGTCAAACACGCAACAACTTATTTGATAACACGGTATGCCTACGAATATGATGAAATTTTGTGATAATGGTTAATTGATGGAAATATTAGTCAAAACCAATCCTGACTTACGAACTGTGATGTGATTTATTCAGCTAAAAAAATAATTGTTTTTATTACAATTTCAATATCATTTACAAGGGTTAAACAATTTTAAAACATTATAAATCAAATTAAAGTAATGTTAATTGCCGTAATATGCTGAGTTACGTCGTTCATCATAATTTTGGATAAGTATGTTTCTTGTTTTTTTTTTCTTTTTTGATAAACAAATTTACCCTCAATTTTAATGATAGCCCAAGCCAAGAACTACCAACATGACTAACGGTATCCTTGAATGAAATTTCTTTCGATTGCATTATTATAGCAATTTTTAACCGCGATGCATCATTTCTTAGCTGCGTAACTAGGCAAGACGGTATTACCCGTGAAGACTCACAAAATTTTCTAAGAACAGTACAAAGGACGATATTAAATTGAATTATAATCCTTGCTTTGTTACCGCTAACAACTACGATTTCGCAGAATATCTCCTACACATCGTACGAAGGGTGAAAGAAAAGCTTTGAATCGGAATATTAGAGCTCTGCTGTGTTAAGCCTTTGTCTACTTCTATCGCTGTTTCTAGGCCCATTTTATATTTTATCTGTAATTCTCTCTTTTTCCACTACAATTTATCTGTATTTCAGCTGTAAAAAAAATCCGCATATCAAACATTAAACAAAGCCGTATAAAAATTCGACTGCTTGTAACGGTATCTCGAATGAATCGTGTTGGAACAAGCAATGTCCCGTCTATACTATATTTACGAGTAGCCAAGCTGGAATTTTTAAGTTTATGATTTAAAAAAAAAAGGTTTCTCGCACTCTCTGGTTATCTGTGGTTTTCGATGTACGTGTACGGTTATATGAAAAGGAAAATAAAAAGAATTACATACCCAATGAAAAGAAATGTTTATTTTAATGATACCAAAAAAAAAGCCCTATATCAACAAATTGAACATCCAAATACAGATTATACAATTTAGCCAACGTTCGAGAACTAACTCGTTACATTGTTACAGCCGACATCGGCAGCTGTGAAGTGCCGTTGGGAATGGAGAGTGGCATGATATCCAACGAGTCACTTTCGGCTAGCTCCAGCTATGACCAGAGCGTCTCGCCGCTTAGTTCTAGGTAAGAATTAAATTAAATCTCAAGGAAAAATATGGTAACTGTTTAAAAAAAAGGTTTTACGATTTTAGACCATTAATCTTTTAATTTTTTTTTTTGTTTTGTGTGGTGTTCTAAATTTAAGTTATAATATTAAATTTTATTAAGTCACATGCAGACCAAGATAATGCAAATAAAAATCAGAAACAGGTCTTCAGTTTTGGAACCGTTAATTTATTTATTTCGCTGGTAGAACTCAAATAGCACAATCATCTATAGCACTAACATTTCTCAAATAAAACATATTTTGTATACCATTACCGTACGAAATCTTTATATATAAAAATGAATTGCTGTTCGTTAGTCTCGCTAAAACTCGAGAGCGGCTGCACCGATTTGGCTAATTTTAGTCTTGAATTATTTGAGGTAGCCCAGAGAAGGTTTCAAAGGTAGATAAATATGAAAATGCTCGGAATTAAATAAAAATAACAATTTTGTTTTCCCTTTGATGTGTCCCCCGTCGGACGGATTTCTTTGTTTGTTTTAAGTTTATTTTATACAAAAGTTTAGATATTTTATTTATCGATTGATGCACTACCAAGTCTGCCGGGTCAGCTAGTCTTGTATAAACATTGTCTTTAAATAACAAACACCCATACTAGTAATGAACTCTCAAAGAAATTTGTATAAGAACGTCATAAACTCGCTTTCAAGTGCGCTGTTACCTGCAGAACGCGCAATTATTGCAAACTTGAAACGACCCCGGCGAAGTTGCAACATCTGCCGTGTAATATATTGAGCTTACTTAAATAAATTACGATCACTAAAGGAGGACTCGCTTATTTTATTTTCAATCAGCAATTAAGATTTCTGGAACTTTAAAAACACAGTGATTTATATATAAATTAATAAAAATACAAATGGTACAAGGGAATTGGGAACAATTTAATTATATAACAGGTCTTTTTTTATCTATGAAGTTGCCGTTTTATAATACTAGCCATTTGGAATGTAATCTATGTATGACTGGCAATAAATTCTAAATTCGAACGAATTTTATTTTAAAATTATGAATTTATATTTTCGAATTCATTCATTCATTTGTTTATTGTTTTTGTTGTGTTTTGTTTTGTTTTTGTTTTGTTTGTTTATTTGCTTTTCGGTTTTTTTTCACCACATTTTTATCCGTTCGATCAATATGAATACGATGAAAATACAAGTAACAATGGAATACGAGCTTCGTTGTGGTAGCAATGGAGCACATACGGCTCACAACGTTAATGACGTGTACAGAGTGAACACTACGAACGAATGCACGACTCATTATTTGGTTTGAATGCTTAGGACATGAAATTTTTTATCTAAAAACGAATTCCGTGGTCGCCTGAAAACTAAAGTCAACAACGACGGATTAAAGACGCTACTCAATCTACCGCTGTGCTAGTAGCAACTTTCGACGTTAGCATTAAAACAATATTGGTTCATTTGCGCCAAATTGGCTATGTAAAAAGACTTGACAACTGGGTACTCGACAAACTGACGATAGCCAGCGCGACGTGCCTTTCGTTGCTTCGAGACACAGAAAGGACGGGACTTTGAACCGCATTATAACTTGCTATGAACAACGGATTCTTTTTGATAATCGTCAGCGGTTATCATTATGATTCAGCACCTGGACGATCTTCTAAACGAAAACTTATCCCTAAAAAAGTGAAATTCACTGATGGTAGTGCATATTATGATTGATAGAAATAAAAAATATAAAAAAGAAAACTTTAGGTAACTTTCAGTGTACTAAACGGCCATTTTGTAGATAAAGACCTGTTTAAATGTATATTTGTTTGTATACATATATGTTTAGTACCAATGGCTTAATGGTACCAAAATAAAAATCAATCCTAAAACAATTATATGTCGTATATATAATTATTATATGTGGCATATATATAAATATATTAAGTGTATATGATATGTATTTAGCTAACTAATAACTAAAATGTATAACTAAACTAAATTAAAACCAAAAACGAATGCTTTTTTGTTCGTATACCATTTCAATATAATCAAACGATCCCTAATACATTTGTTACAATAGAACGATACGCAGTAAAATTTTATTTAGTAAATTAAAAGAACTCATATTTTTTTAAATAATATTGAGACACCACTGAAAAACTTTTATGACAGCTTAAACATGTTAATAATGATAACTCACTATTCAAACTAGTCGGCAATCATCTTTCGGTAAAATAAAACAACGTTGCTAGGGTAAAAGTCATAAATTTAATTTTGAATAATTTAAAATACTTGTTAAAACAAGAACAAAGGCTTCGTTCAACTAATTCCCGCACATTCCAGAAAACGGGCGGCAAATAGTTGAATCGATAGTAACATTTCTGCGCTACCATTGTTCAACAACAATAAACTAGTATGATACGGCCAAGTTGTTACAATAATTGTGAATCCCCCGACCGCAAAACGCTCATACTTAGCTCAAACAATTAACAGAGGGTCTCACATTCGGGTCTTAAGCCCGCATAAGCCCGACGCGAGACAATGGAGCGCAAAACTCTACTCCCGTATGAGAAATTCACTAACAGAAAATTAAATTTTCATATGAATTCGGTGAGACCGTGATCCCACAAAAGCTATCGCTCGACTCCCTAGAAATAACAAGATGTAAGTGTGGTCGGATATGTTGAAACCTTATCGTCGAGCTCTATAAACATGGTCGAAGGCGGTTTAGCAAAGGTAACGTTAATTCAGCGTTTAGCGCGCTTTGTTGCCGCTGTTTTTGAGACGGGCTCCATCTGAGTCGCCCGTGTCTAGATCGCCGACTAGATATTCAAATGGAACGGCCGCCAGACGTACTCCCATCTTTGTTGACAAACGAAACACTGGAACATTCTGCTCTATTTGTTCTGTACAACATACAGGTCGGATATTGTACGAGGGCGGCACTGAAAATTTCGGGAATTAACGAAGTGACACAACATTACTATTTAAAAATGTTTTTATTGCTTTTCGAAGTATTCTCCGCGAAATTGTACACATTTTTCCATACGATGGAACCAATCATTGAAGCAACCATTCCATTCGGAAGTTGGGGTCTCCAAAATGGCCGTTTTGTAGGCGTCCACAGCTTCTTCAGGTGATGAAAATCTCTGTCCACGCAATTTATTCTTTATTTTAGGGAGAGTATAGAAATCATTAGGGCTTAGGTCGGGGCTGTACGGCGGATGGTCTAATAATTCTATGTTTTCTTGCTCTAAAAACTCTTTTGTTCTGTGCGCGGTGTGAGAACTCGCATTGTCGTGATGGAGGATGATGCGGCGGTTGCAGTTCTCTTTACGGAGTTCAAAAACGACCTGTGGCAAACAAATGCTAGCATACCATTCTGCATTAACCGTTCTTTGTCCCTCAAGAGGAATGGTCGTAACATGGCCGGTTTTGGAGACAAACGTGGCCACCATTTTTTTTGCAACACACCGTGAACGAACAATTTTTGTTGGCTTTAACTCATTTTCGAACATCCAAACTCGTGACTGGTTTTTTGTTTCGGGTTCGTACGCGTATATCCAGGATTCTTCACCTGATACAATGTTGTATACAGCATTTGAGGATCCTGCGTGGAATCTTTCGAGAGTTCTGATGCACCAAGTAACGCGAGCCGCTTTTTGCTCTTCATAGAGCGAATGCGGTATCCATCGGGAAAACAACTTTTTTACACCTAATTGTTCATGCAAGATTATTTGTATTTGACTCATGCCAATGTCTAAAGTTGCCTGAATTTCGCGGTATGTCACATGTCGATCTTCCTCAATCAGCTTACGCACAGCATCAACGTTTTCTTGGGTGACTGCAGTTTTTGGACGACCTTGACGGGGATCATCACTGAGCTTGACACGTCCACGTTGAAACTCAGCAAACCAGCGATAAATTGTGGTTTTGGATGGGGCTTCATCACCAAATGCAGAAATCATCCGGTCAACACACTGTTTTTGTGTTAAACCACTTCGAAAGTCATAATAAATCATCGCTCTTGAATTTTCTCGAGTCAATTCCATTTTCTCAACGACTAAACAAGTTTGACAAAACCTCGTGACAAGACCGAGAATCTTTTTTTAAATAAATAAATGGTATTCGATTTTTAAAACCAAGGAGTTTTCAATTAAAAAGATTTTAATATGACAGGAACAGTGGAAATATTCCATTCCCGATACTTTTAGTGCAGCCTAGTACATAACACGTAAATTTTTTTCATGTATAGCCATGCCTTAAGAAATTTATAAATAGCTTCTTACTTCTTACCAGGTGCGGTTAATTTCCGTGCAAATTAAGCACTAGTCCTAGAATTTTCCAAGTTAATTCTCAGAGTTAAGTAAGAAAAATGTAATACATGTATAAATCCCTCGAGAGGGATGAAATATAAAAACAAAAAAACATTTTTTTCAATTTTCAAAACTCTTTACTTTGAACAGGATACGAACTGAGATCCGCGGCGGCGCCTGGTGTCCAAATGGATTGATTTCACCGAAAAGCCGTCAGTACTTGGAGATAGACCTGCACAATGAGTACCTTATAACAGCGACCGAATCACAGGGTCGTTTCGCAAACTCCATCGGAGTAGAATTCGTTGAGAGCTACTCGATCGAATACTGGCGTCCAGCGCTGAATCGTTGGGTCAAATACAAAGACTTCAATGGAAGCAGGGTAAGTGTAAAATCCCTATTATCGAATGTATCCAAAGGTGGCGTTATTTCATTGAATAAAACTACTGAAACGAGACACTGAGTGAATTGTATCAAAATGGATACTGTTAGGCTCAAACAAATTTTGAAAGGAGGGTTATGAATTGTGTATTATTGATATTTTGGCTAAGTTTCTAGGTGGGCGGCATTGAAATCGTAGTATCACCGGTGACAGCTTGACTATCACGTGATCTGTGACCTCGTCAACCTTTACACTCCAGTAAAAAAAACGTTACTTTAAACATTAATGCTTTGAACAATGTTCTTCTTCAAATACTTGCTAGCGTTGGCTCATATTGCCAGCCCACACCTATTCGTATTCCTATTCCTACAAAGAAGTAGTCATTAATTCAGACTTGATACCATTCAATTAATAACCGTAATTACGATACACACAATGGAGACTTTGCTCTCGTGTCTTAAAGTGGGTGACAGCATTCACCACTTTCATTCACTTTACTGTATCCACAAACTCCAGTAATTTAATAATATTGTAGAGCCCAGTCTGTTTGTTGACAGTAATTAAAAAAAAACACTCCGTAACTATGACTGCGTTTGACAGTTAACAATACCTAATAACCGTGGCCAACACGGACAATATATGATGGGCATAAAGCTTTTCATGGCAAATTCAAACTTCGAAACGCAGTTCAAAATTTTGCATCATAACATAAAATCCCTACACAAGTCAGAACTAATGCAGTAATGCTCATGGGGGCTCCGTTTGCTCTGTATATCCGGTTACTTGAAATTAGGCCCGGCGCGGCAGTAATCCTATACTGAGCCAGTTAGTTGACTCTTTGCTATTAATTTATTTAACCAATCTGTTTTGTAGGTTATATTAGTTTTGTAGGTTATATTAGGTTATATTATTCACAACATCGTGAAAGCAGTTTTTTTTACTGTTTCTATCCGTATTAATATAGCTTCATTGTTGCAGCTGATACCGGGAAATGTGAACACTTACACGACAAAAAAGACCACCTTAGAGGCGCCCTTCATCGCATCTATAGTACGAGTATTTCCTTACGCAGCCCACCCAAGGACAGCGTGTATGCGAGTTGAGTTATATGGCTGCCGCTGGAAACGTAGGTACAACAAGGAGTTTGATTTTTTATTCGCTCGCGACGTCCTGGGACCTGCGATGCGAAATCCGCAGAAGCGACTGTCTTTTTTTTGTTTTGTATTTAGCTTTGCGTTTAACCGCCATCGAGCGGCGTATTTATTTAAATTCCCGTTTCACAGAGGCTTTGATAGCATATTCGGCACCGAAAGGCGGAGACATGCAATCCATGACCGGCGGGGCGAAATTCGAAGACATGTCCTATGACGGAATCTTGCGCAAAGGCGTTATGATTGATGGAATGGGCCAAATTACAGACTCTCTTTTGGGACCTAATGATTTTGAGCTACCTGATCCCATGGATACGAGAGGTAATGAAACAGATCACAATTAATATGAAACAAATAATGTATCTAAATATATTAATGTTATGAATGTAATATTTTGATTTATATGAAATTTTGTTTAAAATAGTTTATAATCTGGACTTATACATTGGATTTTTAGTACCTATAGTGAATGACATGACACGGGTAGCGTCAACGTATGTACTATGATAATGAAGACATTTGTTCGCTGGTTTGTGATTTATGCACCCAAAAATCTTCAAAATTACTAGCGATTTATAAATCAGAGAGTGACACAAGCAACTCTTTATCTCTACCAAATACAATGTTCATTCTTTCAGAAATCAAAACATAATAAACTTAAACTAGTTTTAGTTATTACAAAGAGCTAAAAATTTCTGGCCAGGGAGGTACTCAATTCACAATACATGGAACATAAGACTGTAATAATGAATTTAATAATATCTATTTAATTTTAGGAACTCGTTGGGTTGGGTGGAATAAGACAATGCAAGTGGATGAAGAAGTCCAAATAATATTTAACTTTAGCACAACCAGAACCTTGTTTTTCGTCGACATTCACACCAATAACATGTTCACTAAAGATGTTCAGGTATACTTCAGCTATTGACTTTGGAGGTGTTTAAAGTTTTATTTTATTCTCTTTCAACACTTTACTTTGTTACACCAACAGCTTTTCAAGGAGATAGAGATATACTTTTCCTTGGAGGGTGAACGCTGGCAAGAAGATTTTATCTCAATGGAACCAAAACAAGACCGGGTTTCAGAACATGCTCGCATTATACATGTGGATCTTGAGAATCGTACTGCCAAACACGTTATGATGAAACTATATTTTCAACATGAATGGATACTTATAAGCGAAGTCACCTTCAAATCAGGTGAGAACTTCTTTAGTCCAATGGATTCAAAAATTGCAATATCCGAGGACTCCAAGCAAAAACTTCTCATAAGCACAAATCTAAATCAATGAACCTTAATTCTTTGGATGCTTTAGATTCCACAAAGCGGTTCAGTAAAATTATTGAGAGGATACCTCGGAAATTTTTAAATGTAAAATTGAAGAACAAAGGCCTTTGGGATTCGTATGATTTTTCACGCGAACAAAAAGAGTATTCTCTTAAAGGCACAGAAATCCCAGGGACGCTAATAGTCCCCTATTACTCCTCCTCATCGGGCTTTCCTTATCAGTTCGGAGCACTCGCGAGCCAACGGCTATTTCACAAATTTTATCTTTCTCTAATTAATCCACAGCTCAATAAGGGAATCGCTTTCTAAGTGATAATTGGCAAACTAAACTACAGTAATAAACTTATAAGTAGTAAATAAGATATTCTCGTTGGTTTTATTAATTTCAAGAATATTTTTGGAATACACAATTAGTGCACTTATCGTCCATCACCCATTCGTAGTTTCAGCAACGTTACTTTTGACTACCTCAACCTTTCCATTATATAAATAAATTGGGTTAGGAATCCCTATTCCAATTTACCAAAACCTCGAAAAAAGGTCTTGAATTCTCAATGATAGGTTAGTCGTAAACTATACACCAAATAAAATTTTAAAATGGTGTAAATAGATAAATATAAATATAGGCCTAGCTTAGTGGAATAATGGGCAATAAAGTTATAAGTAATTACAATTAGTTATTGTAAACATTTGAAAACTTTTACTCACAGTGGTGTAATATGGATAAGTAGGATCCTACGCGAATCAGCCATGTGCTCTGGTGTGAAGAGTGACACACCCATAAAACAATACAGGCTTCGTTAAATAGGATATTTTGCAATAAAAAAACTGATCTGCTGTTCTAGTCATCACAAGCAAGTAACCATTGGAAAATACTTGAAACTTCAAGCATTCTTGAATAAAATAAGCGTGAAATGCTAATCACGTACTCCATTTTTCAAAATCACAGAAAAAGCCTTTTTATTTGCAACTAATTTAATATGTTCTTTTCATAAATTTAATAATTCTTGCAGCGTAAAAAGTAAAATATTTTCTTGAACTGTGGTCCTTAATCTGGTCAATTAAGAAGCCGTGAAGGTGCAATCGGTGTTTATTACTGGCGCCGAAAGCCTCGTTACGTTCTTATCAAAACATCATCCAACTGCTTCGGATTCCTACCAATACGTAAATAGAAATGTCTGATCTATGTTGGTAATAAATTTCAAGAACTTCTGTAAGCGGCTTATGCAATAATGAAGAGAGATGGAGGGATAATTTCCAAATACTCCTCAGAGTAATTCCCGCCAAATTGCATCAACAATAAAAACACAAAGAGCACCAAAATCTCATTCATAAGCCGAGAGGTTACAAAGTGTGCATCAAATCTGGATTATTGACAATATTAACAGCCGGAAGTGGTTCTGTATGAGACGATTTTTTTAAATAACTTCTTCAGCGCCATCCATTTGCTCAATCTTTAGAATATTCTGAGAGTGCAGCACTAAAATGCACCCAATATATTTACGTATTGTCCATAATTCGTGGATAGCAATACCGATCAACTGTTCAAGTTGTCTTTATACAGAATGTAAAATGTATAAAACACGATTTGAAACTTACATCTGAAATGATGATATATATTTTTTGTAATTCAAATAACCTATAATTTTATAAATCAGAAATAAAATGATAAATTTTCCGATTTAGTTCGCGGGCGTCGCTATCATTATTAATGATCAGCATGAACTAGGTATCGTCTAAAAGGATTCATGCAGCATTCAATGAAAGCATTCAATGAAGCATTCAATACTTTCGGACCAATTAACTAATTTCCTGCGTTATTTTTAAAAGCAAGACTTGCCAATATCTTAATTGAACTAATATTTTGAACTAGTATTTCATGACCCCTAAAAAGAACTTTAGCAACTCTTTTTTAGACAGAACCCTCGTTCAGTGGCGAAACGATAAATGAATCACGGCACATCTTAACAAACATCAGACTCATCTATATGGATATTACACTAAAGCCTTAAAAAAATATTTGTTATCTTCAAATATATTTAAACAAAAGGATCCATTGTTGTTCGATGAATAGGGATGAACAGTTGAATGAAATATTAATAGTATATTGTTAAATTGTTGATTCAACATCAAAATCCTTTTATTGTTATTCTTTTGGAATTCAATCATTACATATTTTTTTTAATACTGTCATAAATAAACATGCGTACTGTTATATTTTTTTCTAACGGCTTATAGAAAATCTTATGCTACACGAGGAGCAAAATTCAATAATAGTTAAGTGAAATCAAGCTGTTCAATTATAAATTATTTTCATAATGCATAATATACCAATCTATTAGTCAATATATTATTTATGTGGAACGTATACAATGTTGTATATTCATATAAAGTTAATGTTCTGGTAACAGTATAATATCATCTTTCTCGGCTCTGAGAATAAAGGAACTCGTGATGTAATGGGCCTTTTATGTTGTTATTGTGAATTATGATACCTAGCAAGTTGTGAATGGATGTAGGTCTTCCGGCCAATCGTAAGATTGCAGGTTCTCTTTCTCTTTACATTATCATTTCGAGAGTGAGGCCAGTTTCTTCATATTTTTATCTCGTAAATCTTAATAAATTCATATAAAATAGCAACCTAACAAATGTGTTAATAAAATGCTTTTATTGGCTTAATATTTATTTTTATTCGCATCAAGGACCAGTGATAATACAATAATTTTATAACTTCGCTCTAACATCCTGACCAGCATCAACAGCATAAAAAAGTGACTAGTAGTTCGGTTTTCTATTTAAATAAGTCCTTTTATTTTCTTTAACTACATATATTTTAACAGTTCATCCTTATCAAATCAAATAATCAGTATCTTGGGTAAAGTTACGAGAAAATCCTTCGTTAATCTCATTCCGCAAGTTACCACTTTCCAATTCCAAAGCTAATAAAATTTGCTTCTGACGCTCAGCAATTTAACTGTTGACCTGAGGTGCAGTTAATTAACAGCGCAATTAGAAATTAGCTCGGCATTAACTGTGTCTTGGCACCTAGTCACTGACGCCCTGGCAGGCAGCCATTCTCGGTTACCTAGTGGAAGTTGGGACCCAGTTTTGACTTCTCGTGCCGGCCTATTTGTGTTTTGCCGTTTCAGAACTTTGAGCCCGATATAACGGCTTCTGTGTATCTTATCCGACGACGGCAAGTTTCGAGTTTCTAGACTTAGATTACACCTCATTTCTTTTTCCCATTTCGACGGAGTTTGGTGCGGAAATCCTTTCGGTAATGAAATACTTTTTTGGTATTGAAAATTGTTTTTCATTTATATCAAATCGTTCGTAAATATTCTAAGAGAATTATTAATCGTTAAAAAATCTAAATTTCCTTCAACGTACAAATAGGGCACAAAACTAAGGCAAATATTCGCGCGACATCAATGTAAATTTATTTTACAGTCAAACTAGCGACTCGCCCTCGCTTCGCTTCGGAAACTGTAATTTATTATTGATTGCTCCACTATTTAATGGATGTTATAATTATACATATATAATTATACATATAAACCTTCCTCTTCAATCACTCTATCTATTAAAAAAAACCGCATCAAAATCCGTTGCGTAGTTTTAAAGATTTAAGCATACATAGGGACAGACAGATATAGGGACAGAGAAAGCGACTTTGTTTTATACTATGTAGTGATGTAGAAATGAACAAAGTTTAACTATTTCTCTACTGAAGCCAACTATCGAAATCTTCACCTGAATTAATACGATGTCTCGCAGTTCTCAAAGCTGCAAACACAAAACCGAATGGACTCTAGCTAAGTTCTTGTCCCATTGTAACCAAACAATTAGTCCTGCGCTCGACACCTATTCATTTTCTCGCTTTGTTTAGGGCGACTCTGGTTTCCCTTATTCAACGCACTGAGCTGCTTTAGATCTATTACACTCAGTCATGTTATGAAATTCTTTGCCCAATCTTTTTTTTTTTTTTTTTTTTATGATTGAAAGTTTACTGGTGGCCTGAAGGCCTTTCCAGTTTCACCAGGACAGGTGGGCGAGCAAAGGCTCAGCCAAGAGGGGTGGGATTTGCTAACAACTGCCCGAGCGCCTCCGAAGGAGACCTAACAACTCAAGAGCAATTGTTTCGCGAATGAATCTACTACCGGATCGGAATCGCGACCCGCTGAGAAGATCCGGCGAGAAACTCAGCGGGCTGATGCATGGGTTAGGTTGCACGTCGACCTCTTTGTCGAGTTCGACGAGTACGGTTACCGGGGTCCCTAAGCCTGCCCCTAGTATTAGAGCTGAAGGCATCTAATGCAAAGGTTATTGGATCTGATGGATCCGTAAGGACGTGTCTAGGGCGTCGACGGTGACTGGCTCCTGCATGATCAGGATTCGGGGAGTAGTCAGCGGCGGCAACGATAAGGCGATTATCATGACGCATAGCCTTATCGAAGTATCGTTCCGACGCTGACTTCATGTATTTCCGAATTGATTCGAGGCCCAGGTCGTCGTGTAGGTCAACGTTCCTCACGAACCACGGAGCCCCGACAGCTAACCTGCAAAAGCGGGATTGTAGGGATTGGAGGGTGTCTATGTGTGTGCGGGCCGCGTGAGCGAACACCACACTCGCGTAAGTCATGACGGGCCTTATGCAAGTTTTGTAAAGTGTCACCTTGTTCCGAAGGGACATTTTACTCCGCTTACAGATCATGGGGTAGAGTCTACCGAGAATAAACGCGGCACGGTCACGGACTGATTTTATATGCGGGCGGAATGTCATCGATGCATCCAGGGTAACGCCCAGGTACTTGACCTTCCTGGCCCAGGGTATGGGTTGTCTAAAGAGAGTAATCGGGGGTGTGAGATTCCTCCTCCTAATCCGGGAGGAAATCCGTGTGGAGCTTCCCCTCTGAAATAGCACCGCAGTACTTTTCGCTGGGTTGATGTCTATGCGCCATTTTCGGAACCACTGTCCTAGGGCTAGGGCTGCGCTCTGAAGCTTCTTCGCGATTAGGGACTTATTTCTACTAGAATAGTAAACAGTCGTGTCGTCGGCGAATAAAGCTAAATGGGTCGGCGGCGACCGGGGAATATCGTTGACGAATAAGCTAAATAGGAGGGGTGAGAGGACAGAGCCTTGCGGGACTCCAGCTGTGAGAGGTCGTGGGGAGGAGCGGGTTCCCTCGACTCGATATCGAAAAGAGCGGTTCGACAAGAAGTCCCGTATGATGAGCACGAGACTATCCGGCACGCCCATGTTGAATAGTTTGAAAATCAAACCATTGTGCCAGACTTTGTCGAACGCTTTTGCGACGTCGAAGAAGAGAGCTCCCGTGTATAACGGTTTTGGTCGATTAAGCCCCACAAGAATGTGCTCCGTGAGGCGGTGCACCTGTTGAACGCATGAGTGATTTGTACGGAATCCGAATTGTTCATCGATGAGAATGCCCTTGGATGAGACGAAGTCTCTGAGGCGTTTGTAGAGCAGACGCTCATACAGTTTGCCTAGAGACATGAGGAGGCTAATCGGGCGGTAGCTCGTCGGATGATTTTTTGGTTTACCGGGTTTATGTATGCCGATAACGTCCGCTTCTTTCCACACCGCGGGAAAGATACAGTTCGCCATAGCGGCATTGAAAATAGATGCCAACATCACGATGAGTTGGACGGGTAGAAGTTTAATAACGCGGTTGGATATACCGTCGGAACCGGGAGCCTTGCGAGGACGTAGGTCTTTGATCAAGTCTTTAACTTCCATCGGGGTGACGGGTGGTAACGCATCCGAGGGTGGCAAGGAGGCTCTGCGTTCTACCTCACTGTCTACTAATTCTACATGAACAGGGTCCACGGATTGAGTGCTGGGCGTGCACTGGGTTTGCAATGTATCGGCCAGCAGCTCTGCTTTTTCGTCATCATCGAACGCCGCGAGTCGGCCTGAGGGGCCTACGAGGGGGGGCATAGTTACTACCGTATCCGATTTGAGAGTACGAGCTAAGCGGTAGTAAGACCTTTGGGAGGGCGCGAGTCCTTCTAAGAAATCAGACCATCTGGCATCTCGGACTTCGGCGATGCGAGACTTTACGTCGCGTTGTAGGGCACGCATTCGAATACGATTTTCCGCGGTAGGATACCTGTCGTAGGCGCGTATCGAGGCGTTCTTAGCTCTAAGGAGTTCCCTAATATCGTCGGACAATTTGAAGCGGTGAAGGAAGTCCTCCGCTACAACTTGTTTCGATGACCTATCTAATGTCGAGGTGATGTGTGACGTTAAGATGTCTATGGCTTCAGCGGTATCCTGAGGAGACGGGATAGAGTCCGGGTTAAACGGGAGCGATGGTGGATCAGATTCAGCCAGGCTGATGCCCAGCGTGTGCCAATCCACCACAGTCCTCGTGACGGGAACGGAATCGGGAGCGCGACCGAGCTTCATAACGACGGGACGGTGGTCTGAATCTAACTCTGAAACTACTTCGATCGAGTGTAAGCGCAGAGTTACGTTTTTTAATAACGCTATGTCGAGTATATCCGGGCGATGCGCGATATTTAGCGGGTAGTGAGTCGGGGTTAGCGGAGCGACGATATCGAAGGCGAGATCATCGACTAACGCGTCAAGCCGCCTGCCATTCGGGGTTGTGGTGTGTGAGTTCCACCTGATGTGTTTACAATTTAGGTCGCCCGCCAGAATGACAGAGCTCCCCATACCGAGCAGCGCCTCGATATCACTGCTTAGAACGATCTTATCCGGTGGAAGATAAACGGACGCGATAACGATCGGCGCGTGTCCCGTCAGTGAGATTCGGCACACTGATGCTTCGATATTAGCGAGCGCGGGAGGATCGAGCGGGACGCAATGCAGGGCTCTTCTATAGTAAATGACGGTACCACCACCACGGGCAGAGAGCCTGTCGTTCCTGACCATGTTATAGTTCGCGATTTTAGGGTCACGGCGCGCGGGCTTAAGTAGGGTCTCCTGCACTAAAAAGATATCAATTTGGTGGTCACGCAAAAAGTCAGAAACCTGATCACGTTGATTTGCGAGACCGTAAGCGTTAAAAAATCCTATCGTTACGGATAGGGGCTTTATTCTACTTATATACGCCATTGATTACCGGCGGAGTGAGGGGAGGACGTACGTATTTAATGACGCGTATACGTCGGCGTATTCCTGCACAACGGCGATAAAGTGTTGTGCAGTGGAGGCAGCGCGAATGGCGTCGCCCAAAGCGTTAACGCGCTCAAAGTTGATCGACTGAAAGAAGTCGATCGCTAAAGCGAGATTGTCGGACGCGGTCGGAGGGCAAGTCGCGGGAGAGGGACGAGTCGCGGGGGCGGGACGAATCGCGGAGGAGGGAGTTGTAGCCGTGTTCGTGTACGGCAGCGGTTTTGCCCAGGCCGAGACACTGGGCACCGCCGCCGGAACGAACGCTGGCTTAGCCTGCGACGCAGAGGGTGCCGAGGCTTTGATGTCTGGGCCGGAAGCTCGGAGGCGGTTTTGGCGGGCGACGCGGCGATTTATTTTAGGGGCTCGGGGGCAACCACGGTAATTCGCGGGGTGACCCTGTGTTCGACACAGGACGCAGCTAGGCGGTTCCGTCGCGGTTTTTTGGTCGCGAGCGCAGAGGGCCGTGGCGTGATCGCCCAAACACTTAACACATCGGGGGCGCGCGTGACAGTTACGGGAAGAGTGCCCGTACAATTGACAGTTATGGCACTGGCTAGGAGTGCCTTTTTTATGGGGGGCTTCGACAGCGATACCAGAGAGCCTACAGACGGTCTGTGTGTTAAAGATTTTCTTACCCTCGGGGGTAGGCTGGAGAGCGACTAGAACCATATTATATGGCTCCCTACCGCGACCGGTGTGCATACGGTGCACAGAATTCACTGGTAGGCCTTGTTCTAACAGGTCGGCTTTTACGAGCTCTACATCTAACTCTTTAGGGATTCCGCGTATTACAACGCGGAGTTCGCGCTCCTCCTGGAGCGTATACGTATGGAAACTTATACGCTCCTTACGGAGGTAAGAAGAGAGGGCCCTATGGTCGTCGGGTGTTTGAACCTTAATTTGAATGCCGTTCGCGAGGTTACGGGCATTCGTGAAATTTATATTTTTGGCCTTAAGGGCCAGGCAAACTCGATCCCAAGCTGCCTTCTCCTGAAGGATAACCGGGGGAGGGGTCTGGGTTTTATTTTGTGCCACCGGACGCGGCGACGGAGTGGCACGGGCTGGGGGCGCAACGGGAGTCTGAGGGCGGGGGCGCGACGCGTTCACGGCTTTGCTAATTTTAGCGGCCGCGGGAGCTCGAGACTCCGCGGCACGCTTCTTACCCTTCTGTACCAGGGTGAATCCATCCGTCGATGAGGCGGGGGCGAGGTCGACCTCCATGTCCGAGTCAGAGTCGGAGCACGAGGAGGCGGGTGCAGGCGACCTACGAGCAAGTGTAGGTGTTTTAGAGGGCGCGACGGAGGCCGCGGATGATCGCTCAGCTGAAACGATGGTCACGGCGGACGACGCAGCAGCTTTTCTCGCCAGTATAGGCGACACGGGAGCGGCAGGCACGACAGAGGCTGCGGTGCTCAATGCAGAAGCTCTGCACGCAGGTACAGGCGACGCAGGAGCAGCGAGCGCGGCGGAGTCCTCGAGAGGGCTCGCAGTGTGATTGGCCTTGAAGGCCAAAAACTCCGAGGCGAGCTGTGGGTGGCGAAGTCGGAGGAATTCCGCGAATACAGCGTCCATGATCGCTGAGTACCCAGGTGGGGCGGCCCCGGGTCTTGAAAACACTCGCCTTGCGGCGAGGCCCCAACTTCTCGGACCTGAGCGGTTCTATTGAACACAGGTGGCAATGCGGCGCGATTACTACAGGACAAAGAAAAAGCACAACAAAACAGAAATTACGAAAAGAAACAAAACAAATAAATACTTGCAGGAAACCACTTTGTCGGCAGATGTACCACGAACACAGAAACAACAAAAGGAAACAAAACAAATAAAAACTTCCAGAAAGAGCACTTAGTCGGCAGATGTACCACGAACACAGGCCGCGCGAACAATGGCCGGGCTAACAAAAGCCGGGCGAACAAAGACCGGGCGATCGAGTGGACGATGAGCACGTCCGCACGTGACGGGTGCCTCTATCGGAATGGCTTTGCCCAATCCTAAAGCATAGTCTGTATAAACATGATATATGAAATAAGTCGAATATGCACCTAAGTATTTGTACCCTACAAAAACAAGTTTGTAAACAGATTTATTAAATACACATATTTTCAAATTACGACAATATTAAAAGAATCGTTTTCAACAGCGCCAACTGTCGTGAACGCGTCCGTTGAATTCCTCGAAGAATATTATCGGACGGACATTCCACCTTCTTCACGTAAGAAAAGAAATTCCTCGATGAGAGTCTCCGTCGGGTTGGCCTGCGGAGCGCTGGTCGGTGGGGGAGCGTTCATAGCTGCCACCGCTGTACTGCTCACAAAGAAGGCGCGTCGTAGAATTCCGAACGTGCTGAAGAAACCTTTCTGCCCGTCGCTTAGAAATGGAAACGCGAACGCTAGAAACACCCGACGCGCGCCGAGACTCGCTCTGGCACTAGCTAACTGTCCACCGATCCACATGTTAAGGTAAGCGGTTTATTTTTCAAAATAAAATTCACTTAAAAACTATTAACGTGTTATTTTGTATCTTCGAGAATAAATTACGTATTAGCAGTCAAAATATCTTGTCCGAACTTCGAATGCCGAACGCTTTGTATAACAAATATAAATGAATTGTCCATAGGCCCGCAGTAGTCGATGAAGATTATCGCGAGCCGTACAATATCTGGAGGGAGACGTTGGGTCGTCGTGACAAACGAGAAATCCATGATCAGAATGAATATAACGGTACGTACGAAAACAATGTTTTCCTTCGTAGCGGAGAATTTCATTCATTTCCGCTGCTGTTTTTTGTTTCAGTGAACCACCATTTCGGTAAACGCACCTGTATTTTTTTTATTGGGCTAGGTGGGTAGACAAATTCTTGGTCCACCTGGTGTTAATTGGTTACCAGACTTCAAAGACATTATTACAACGTGAATGTTACTCATCTTTAGTTGGTCTTACTATTTAGGTCATGGTCTTAATTCTACCATGTTATTCAGTCTTTTTTCAAAGAGAAGTCGCACGACTATTTCGCGGCAGAAAAAAACATGCGGTAGTTTTAATTTTTAGCCTATTATACTAAACAATACTGTTCTTCAAAAGAATCTTCGAATCCCTCACCCGAAATAGTTAATAACAATAATTAAAAAATACTCATAGGAAAGGTTATTTACCCTTAGAGGCCGTGTTATCTGTGTACTCAAGCGTTTGTACAGACTTTGAAGTACAAAAACCGTACAACACAATAAAAGAAGAAATTTGAAAAAATGTAATAAAGTCAGCGATGTTAAATCCACAAGAGCTGACCCTAATTGTAAACAATACTACTCAGACAAATGAACAAACTACCGTTGGCTGTTTTTTCTTGACAAACAAAGGGCTCGACCCTCGATCGCGTATAGAAACTTAGTTTGCTACTCAAAAAACTTGTGTTTCGGAAGCCACATGTTCATTACATTACATGGTATTATTGGATACTGTGTAAAATAATAACGAAACAAATACTTCAATGACAGTGGAGCATGTGGTTCTCAAACATTTTAGTTACATCGTAAATATAAAATACTTATACCCATTATTATATACGTAAATCTACCCACTGTATGAATGTTAATATTAAATTTTAATTATAAGTAACGCATCAAGGAAAATAGTGAAGTGCACTCGAATATCTTAGGCAGCAGTTTGGTTACGTCCTTGGCATAGATAGCTCTATTTATCAACATAAATAGCTGTAAAATCTATTGCCTAATGATCCATTTTGTTCCTAAGTAAATAATATGTACAGTAATTTTTACGATTTCCACGATGAAGGAACGAAATATTTTTCCTAGTAATACCTCGTTTTGAAACAAAACAGCAAACAAATTCTTCTTTCTAATTACATAGTTATTAAGGTGAGCGTATTGTTAAACCTAATAGGCGCACTACGATCCTGCCTATTCCTGTCGTGAAGCAATAATACATTCCTATTTGAAGGGCTAGATATTCATATACAATTGAGATATTGGCCGGGGGTGAAAACGTAACGTTTTGATGCCTACAGACTTTCCAATTGCAACAAAAAATGTATGCTCTCTTTGTAAATGCATTATGGAATACGAGCATGCATTTAAGAGAGAATATTTAAAGGAGTTTCTTTGTAAGCCGTACCTTATTTCGTTGCAGTCGGTCCATATTTTCGCGCTAGTTAGCTCGACCGCGACTCTCGACTGCACTCGTTAGGCCTTCAAGTGCACTTGCACAGAGATTGTTACCATTCCCGTTTCGTGCTACTTACGTGCCTCGGTCCTTGCTAGTCGACTGCAAAGCCGCCTAATGATGCTCGAAACAATATATTATTCATTTATTGAAGTGAAACTTCTTTAGAATCGTTATGATTTCAAACTCGATGAAACGAAAAAATAAGTCCATAGAGACACAAACACATAAATGTATAGGATTCAGCCGACGAGAGAATGAGATAGAACACATTATACGTGAAGTTAAAATATCAATTCACAGAGGGCGCTACCTCATAGTATAAAAGATGATTTACAATTATTTTATTTTTGAATTCTTAAACGACGATTCCTATTACGTTTGAACACCAATCTCGTTACTCGACTTACTATATACGCACATGTATGTAATAAAAAAAAGAAACAACGGTCTTCGTATAACAAACTAAATATTTAACAAAAAAAAAACAAAATGAGAAACTTCAGTCCGTGTACACGGTTTCTCTAACAAAAGACCCCAATTACAACTAAGAAAAGATTTTAATTTTAATGCAAAAGTTATTTCGAGTCTTACAAAGGTTTTCAAGGGACGCGGACCACAATGTTCTGTCACTAACTAGTTTCCCCTCAGGCAGGAAACGCTACTCAAACTCAAGAAACAACCAACATTAACTTGTAAAGTGTAAAGAAAAAGTTGTTTTAATCAGAACACAGCACTAATTGTACTGAATAGTGAAATTTTAACGCAACACAAACTAACGCCTTATTTAGGAGACCTTTCCTATTATGGGCTGTAATCTTCTCAAATTTTAGTTATTTTAGCCGAGATCATACAAAGAAATGCTATGCCCAATATAAAACGTAATACTACTATTCAAAGAGAGCAGTTGGGAAATTCTAGTTGAAAGGAAAAGTGCACGGTGGATAGTGTGCTCGTTACGTCATCGGGACGTCCGGCCGGAAAGGCAGCCATTGTTCAGGAACCATATTGAAAAGATGCTTCGGCCCGAGCACAGGATAATAGGAGGCAGCCGTTGAAAGACTAAGGATAACACTGTCGGAATAGCGAGATTTTGGACGGGATTTATTATTCTCGGATGACGGAATAAATCCGTTACAAATAGGAAATGGAACAGATTCAAACGTGAACATTAACTTTTGCAGAGGTCTAATTAATTTAAAGGTTAAGATAGAAACATTAGGGCTTAGACGACAAAAAAAGATAAAAAAAAATACGTGTAGCACTCGGGGACTGCCGCGGTAAAGCTATTTATTGCATAGCATTTTTTATCAACTTTGCAATTATAGTTAGACAATAATAATTTAATATTAAAACAATAATAAAATAAGACCACGCTATATTTAGAAACATTAACAAAAGCAAAACATTAAAAGTCCCCTTCACAGTCATGAGCTAGACCGCGCGAGAGAGAGATGGACAAAATTTTTATGATGCGCATGCAGTGCGATGTCACGCCGCGCGCTTATTCACAAACACTACACAAGCGCAACGTGTGAATGTGTTGAACGCGAGCTACATCGGACGAAGTGGGGGTGTTAGGTTTTATTTTAGTTACGGAATTTCTTAATTCGGTCGCCGCGCTTAAAGCCCGCGATAAAAGCTATGAAGTAGCTTAACAGGTTAATAAAAGTACATTCTTCGACAGAAATTTGTGAAGACACCGAATTCCCGCGTCCGTACATGATGAAACGACCAGACCCGCACGAGAGCTTCTACGCAGCCACTGACATCATACACCACGTGAGTAGTCTAGATATATTACATTATATATTGCATTATGTACACGAAGTCGTGGGCTTAAAAACTTAGAAACAACTGCACGTACAAAAATGCAGCAACTCACATTTAGATGTCAGATCGAATACTCAATGCGAATCAGACACGTAGGCTAGACTTCGTATTCTGATCCCCAACTCAAGCGCCACTATCATATGGCAATACCTTCAGGCTTTCCAACTTAACGGGTACCACAGCATAATATGCCATAAAATACACAAGGTCATGTCTCCGGACTCGTACCACCACCAAAGAGTAGGTGGGTCGTCACTAATCTAGAAGAATACAAAAAAATATCGGCATTAGAACTAAAATGCGATATTGCTGCGTAAGGTAAGTACAGATGCAATTTATTTTATAATGTCGTGTTCAAATCGATATGTAAAACGACTATATTTCACAGATTTAATTACGTACTTACTTTGAATTTTAAAGTGCCGTCAAATGCCACAAAAGTATCAAAATTTAATTGTTTTCTAGTTTAGATATACGTTTTTATAAATCGAATAGAAATATTGGAGAATATTCTGTTATTGAAAAAAAGCAACGCATGTAACTGACTTATCAATGTTTCAATGGTTTAAGTCAAACTTGTTTTTAAACATATTTTTTTTTATTTTATTGAAAATCTTCACAATTAATACATCAATATCTCAAAGTATACTCGTACAACAAACGTCATTTGACATCTCATTGAATACAGCAACTTTATTCATCATTGTTATTTAACATACCAATGCAAACGTTATTTTTATTGATATGGCACACAATCTAAATATTGGGATCTAATGAAATCAGTATCAATTTGCTACAACTCTATCTACATTTTTTTATCAATTGAATAATAATAATATACAGTATGTCAGTGTGTTCTCATCTATATATTAATACGTGAAGCAAAAACTTTGTATCCCTTTTGACGAAAATTTCGCGGACGGAGGAGTATGAAATTTTCCACACTTATAAAGAATATAGAGAAGAAGTGCACAATGCTAATATTTTTTTTAATTATGCATAAAAGATACATAAAATCAATTAAGAAAATATAACACACACTACATACCATATATTTGACGCACACACGCATGCATACTATTTATTGTCAATCTTTTGTTCTTAACGTCTGTTGTCAAATTGAGAATAGATTAAATATTGTTGGTCTTTGTCAATATTTTTATAGTGTAGTCTTGGCGAAATTTGTGATTATAGAAGTATAAAATACAATCATAATAGTGTACAAGCTTACAATTCCAATTAATTATAGTCGAATTTCGACTACTGCGGGACCTCTAGTAAGATTAAATTAGCCAAAAATAGTTTTAAGAGAATATTTTAACAAGCAAAAAAAACAAAGCTCCAATGACAAATTCCAAAAAAATTACGCCATCACGGATTAGGGTTGCGCCCATGTTGTTCATAATAGACCATAAGACCAGCATCGAAAACGAACAATTTTGTTATAAATTTTTATACATTAATAATCTGCTTTTCTGAAACTTGCATAAAATTTTACGGTACTATTATTTAAAACTTTTTTGTGAAACGAACTTCACGTGTTTTATATTTTATTCGACAATTGTAATAAAAACGGAATCGTTTCCTTTGGCCGTGTCGTAAAATCAACTCGGGTTTTATTAAATTATTTTCAACTTAAAAGGAAAAGTCGCCATATAAAAGAGTTTGAAATAGTGGAGAAACACGTCAAGAAATTTAAAAAGAAAATGCGTCACTGAATTTTGTTTAAGTTTGTTTTGTGCACATAGCAAGTTATTAAGATATTGCTTAACAAGACATCATACTTGTTGTGATCTGACGCAGATCTATTCAAAAAACAAAACGGTATCTCGCAAGTAAGTAGTTTACTGGTGGTAGGACCTCTTGTGAGTCCGCGCGGGTAGGTGCCACCACCCTGCCTATTTCTGCAGTGAAGCAGTAATGCGTTTCGGTTTGAAGGGCAGGGCAGCCGTTGTAACTGTACTGAGACCTTAGAACTTATGTATGAAGGTGGGTGGCGCATTTACGTTGTAGATGTCTATGGGCTCCAGTAACCACTTAACACCAGGTGGGCTGTGGGCTCGTCCACCCATCTAAGCAATAAAAAAAAAAAAAAGTAGAAGACATTTTGGGATAAAATTAATTACAGTTTCTTATCTAAACTAATTAAGTAAACTAATTTTTACTTTTAATTATACTGTCGAATCGATACAAATAACATAACAGCTGACGCTAAAGTACATAAAATTCAGCGGAAAAATTCATGAACCAAATAAGATTATTTCTGTAAAAACATAAATGAACGCTGTATTGGTAATTATTTGAATTGATTCCACAGAAAAACAAGTGAATGTTTTTTTTTTTAAATACATACCATTTCATTTTCTTTTAATATACTGTGACAAAACATAACAGAATTTCCTGCACGAATACGAGCATAGAAGCACGTTCAACCAACAACAACGTTAGTTGTAGTTGTTCGAGAGGTTGTTTTATTTTTTTCTTTAGTAACTGTGTTTCTTAATATCTATTAAAATTTTATATGACCACCGTACTAACTTATTAAGTTATTATAATATAAGTAATATTTTTGTAATTCTAATAATATATTATATTCTAGTAAAATCGTCGTGTAACAAATTAACGAATGTCGCATTTAATGAGAAAGAGTAAAAAGATAAATCAATTGGACATAACAATATCATTACCATTAATATTATATTAAAGAGATTTATCGTTTTTTATTGGCGGTAGGACCTCTTGTGAGTCCGCGCGGGTAGGTACCACCGCCCTGCCTATTTCCGCCTTGAAGCAGTAATGTATTTCGGCTTGAACGGTTGGGCAGCCGTTGTAACTATACTGAGACCTTAGAACTTATTTCTCAAGGTGGGTGGCGCATTTACGTTGTAGATGTCTATGAGCTCCGGTAATCCCTTAACACCAGGTAGGCCGTGAGCTGGTCTACTCTAAGCAATAAAAAAATGTATTTAGTATGTGAATATCTTTAAAAAAAATACAAACTATGTAACTCACTATTATTATGTGAGATCGATTTTCCTCAAAACAGCGGTATATTTAACTCTACCTATTATTTTAATGAATTAAATTAGTTTCCGGAATCGACCACATTTAATTACGGGGCACGTACGTACGTGATAAACTAGTGGAAATTAGTATGTCGCTAATGACGCTCGATCGAATCTGGTAAAAGGTGCTCTCATTGCAATTGGGATAGAGATGTGGTCGGGGCGGTCGCGATAGGGTCGCGTTACGGAATACGACCGTTTGTTGTTTGTGGTCGTACGCTAGTTAATGATTTGGCTTTATATCACTAGCGCGCTGGTTTTCCGTGGCCATGATTAGAATCGCTCTCTGTTGGAATACGTGAATTGATCTATATCAGAACATATACGTTGATAACAAAGTATCAAGGATTATCGAGCCCTAAATCTTGATAGAATACCAAAACAAAATGAATGATTGTCTGTAAGATTCGAAACAAGGCTGTCTTTAGTTAGTAGATTCCTCAAATTAAATTAATTTACTTTTCTTCATAATTTTCAAAGTACACCTCCAAGAATGATTCCATCGACACGCAGTGCGGAAGCGCCATGGTGACGGCCCTCGGGAAATCATTTCAGCTTCTTAACGTAACTGCATCAGGGCGCAATACTTTACGTGTTTTTCCTTGTTTTGTAATTGCCAATTTTTTATTTGTACCAATACAAGATACAACAATACAAATAAATGGATTTTTTAATGCAATCAATATCTTAAAAATCGTAAAAGATATTGTAGGTAAGGTAATTTTTTTAATAAAAAAAAAGGTTTTTCTTGAAAGGTGTATAAAATTCACGACTGAAATATGAGTCTCGAATCTTTAAATAAATTTAAAAATAAATTGGTAATCTTCGATAGTATCTTCGGCGTCGACAAACAATGAAGCTTTCAGAAGGTATAATTTGCCTGTGGGTTCACGAGCCGTATGTTCGATACAAAAGCTCCACGAAGCCCGTATTGACGATGTGGTCTTTAGGAACGTGTCCCCCGGTAATGACGCTGCATTGAATAGCAAACCTTTGTCACGTCGGTGACGATTCCGCAAACACGGGTAAATTGTACTGTGACGGATTTGCGGGAAACTATCGGAACTCGAGTGCTGCCTTTTACTTTGTTATGTTGCCGTTCTGATTAGAGAATTTGTTTTCGAGATGTATTTGTCGTTGATTGATCAAGAAGGTTCTTAAGCTCTAAATAATAATATGGTCTTCTTGAACTATAACTACTGTTTCTGTATTCAATTAACACTGCTATTAACGAGTTAAGGTTTTCTTGTTGACTGATTGATAAATGTAGTGTTGTATTATGACTCATTTTAAGAGTCTTAACACGTATAGATCTACAGGAAATCCAATCTTATTTTTAAATCGATTTGAAATTCAGAACTGACTAGGTGTTTGAAAATGATTAAAAATATACTTTGTAATAAATTTCATTGAATTATTCACGAAATAGTAATTACGCAACAACACTAGTGCGATTTCAGATCCCTGTTTTCATATTTCCAATTCAAATCTAATTTCTAATCTAATCTAGTAATTCGGATGCACCCATGACAATTGGGATGCGACTTCATACATAATAAGCTTGTCATCATAATAATCTCAAATTAAAATAGGTCGAAGGATTGTAATGACGCATAAAGTATTATCGCGAACAGGCTATTCGTAAGAGAAAAACAACTAGTGTTTTCATTATACCATTATACGCGTCGCCAATTGCACGTTGATCATAATATAGCAGTTAATATTGAAGTATTTATAGCAACTATTGAAATTAACAAAAAGCTTGATTATTAAGTCATAATGACTTGTTGGAGCAATTAACGGGCATGTGGTTCCTGTCAATATCTGAACTTGTTATTCCTATAGCAACTATATAGGTTAATTACAGTCCCATGAGTAGTATAC